ACGAATTTAAATTTATTCGTGTATTTTTTCGGAGTTTTAGGAAAAGATCCGCTTCGAATGCGTATTATTTTTTAATTATCTGATACGAAAGCGTTCGCTAGTCTTGGAAGTGGTAAAACACCGGAGTCTTAAACACTATTCATGGTTCTAATTTTTTTTACGTCTGATGTATCTTACAGTTAATTGTTTAATTAGTTACAACTGGGTTCAAAAAATATCGAAAAAATTCCAAAGTAATTTTCCTGGGCAGACTTTATTATCAACTATAAAAGTAGTTGTATAATTATATTTATTTTTTGGATCATCTGTACGTGACGTAATTTTACATCAATCTTACATGCGGGGATAATAATTATTGTACTTATATGAGATATCTATGCTTCGACCTGTAAGAGTTATTCTTATTTTTTTTCTATTCGTCGAACGACTCAATTTATATTTAATTATACACTTGCATCAGTTTCGTAAAATTAGTGGATAAACCAACAAGTGTGACGTATATTCTAGGAAATGTATTAAATGTTCCTCAATCCCTTTACCTTGTATATAGTTGTATTTGATTTTAGTATTGCATACAAGTATTAGTTTTTCGATTTGTCTCTCATACATTTCAAGTGTTTACTAATTATTGTAATTGAAATAAAAATTATAATTTTTTACACATTATGTGTTACACTATTATCATAATATAGGTGTACATTCTAGTTCATCTACTTTTATTAATTCTGAATCAGACTGATTAAAATCCATTTTAAAAACACGTTATGGTTATGCCATTTAATTTTTTATTAGATTATACTATTATAATTTATAAATATATAAACAATAAACAAACGGTTTACTTATTTATTTCTATGTAAACTATTTATTTATTTATTTATATTTTAATTACGAGTATTAACCATTTAATAATTTTTAATTTTTATATTATTTATTATTATTATACTATAATTTGTTGTTACTTAATTGATTTTCACTTGAACAAATACTCGACTTGGTAAAACGCTTTAAGTTTAGTTCAAGTACTAGACTCGACTCGATCAAATCAATTGTTGTACTCGTGAATATGAGTATTCGATTTTACTCGACTTAATCGAGTATTTGACTTTATTCGACTTTAATCAAGTAATCGAGTTTTATTATTTATTTATTATTCGAGTTTTAAACTCGTCTCGACACGATATAAAAAAACAATACTCGTCCAACTCTAGTTTTTACATTAAAATTCTTATTTGTGATGAGTTCTTAATAATTTTTAATTCGGAAAATTACATAAAGATAATAATATAACGATTTTGAAACAAAAAAAATTCCTGCAAACGGTTGAGTGTAACTTTTGACAACTATGATTCAAAATAAAAATATATCAACTAAATAGTTTTAACATATATTATCATAATTAAGTAATTACAAATTGACGTAACGTCATAGCTAATCATATTCTATTAAATAAATATGTACCAATACATATATAATGTAACTACATGTATACTATATACTACTATATAATTATGCAAACGTTTCTTTTATCATGGTGGATTATTAAAGTTATTTAAAAATATGGAAAATTGTGTCAAACAGATTTATTTAATTAATACAATTATTTCTAATAATATGTTATTATACTTAAAAATGTTGGTTTTATAATATGTTTGGTAGATACATTACATTTTACATTTAGTTCTTAGTTTTTAAATTTTAAATAAGTCTTATGTGGATATCATACTGAAATGGAAATTATTAGGGTACGTGTTGAAATCAAAAATACATTTATATTATAAATTTAATGGTGATGAAACATAATTAATTACTTCCTAATTTATTTTGGCACTAATCTCAAAAATCTTTAAGAAAAAAATTAGCTTTCATTTAAAAACTCTGCATTATGTAGATGAAATTTGGTTTATCTACATTACATTTTTAACTAATCAATTATGTATATTAACTAATAGGCAATAGGTATATAGGTATATATTGGCATATGATTAAAATTTAGATTAAAATAAATGTTTATCGCTAATATTATCATATACCGATCAATCTTTAGTCGCCAAATATCAATAAAAAAATATGACTATAATTAAAACTAACAACTAATAACTACAATATATTCATTTTCCACATTCATGATTCTAACTGCAATGTTGGGATTTTCTTAAGTTTTCAATGTCAACTTCTCTTTGTGAACATATGAACATGTATGATATAATAAAGACAAACCTTGCTTTTCGTGAAATTACGAATATTGACTTGTTTATTTTTGTTGGCAATTACTCATGAGTATTTTAATCAAGGCAAAATGTTTTAGTTTTATGTCTTTAAGCTTTGCTTACTTTGCTACTTTTTGTTTTACATCAAGGTTCATTATTTCAGTTAAAGAAGACAATAACTAAATGTCTATTATAATCAAATTATAATTATATTTTCAGGTACTAACTATATAGTAATCTGAATAGAGTCATAACCGACGAATAATTCTTTTTTCAATGTAATAAAAATGTATAAATGTTTTATACTGTTTATTTTATTGCAATGGAATTCAAATTTACTGAAAATTGTAATTTATATTTTTTAATAAACATTTCCATGAATGAGTTTCAATATAAAATAGTTAAGAAAATAATTAATTTCTGCAATTATTATCGGTACTTGTAATATATGAAAATTTATTTTCAAATACCAATATCTATTGGTTATTTTAAATTTGTAAATTTACTTTAAAACATTAAATATGTAAATAAAAAATTATAAAATCGATTAACTGTTTAGCAATTGATTTTATACGAACACTAATAACATTTTTACTTGGTTTTAACGTATAATTTGAAATTGCAAATTGAATAAACATTATGTATTTATATCAGTGAAATAGCAAAACAAGTAAAATAATTATTTAACACTTACAAAGTTATATCCATTAAAAGATGCACTGGGGTTGTACTATTAATAATTGTCTTATTAGAATAAAAACTATGATAAATGTCAACGGAAGAAATAATTTTTGGCTCTTTTTATAAGAGTTGCTTATGATGTGGCGACACACCAATTACTAAGAGGCCATAAGACCTCAAAGAATTTATGTGTAGGGTTTCAACAAAATTAATTATTTAACATATGTTTACATTTGGTTGAATGAAGTAAAATTAAACAAGTTTAAACAAGAATCCTAATTGCAAGTTCTGTATTAAACTTTATAATTTAGTAATAATTATTGACCATAGCCATATTTTTTTTTTACGCATATTTAAAAAAAATTATATATGATTTGCTAAATGTAAATTTGAATGCGAAAAATTAATAAAAATATCAAATAGACCAACAAAACTAATCAAAATATCATTTGGTATACTTTCAAAGATCTGTCAAATATCTTTACCTATAAACTATTTTATAATTAAAATATCATAATTGTAATATTAATAATAGAATATGTATACTATTAAATTATTTTTGCTCATTATCAGATAAATCTATTAGAACTTTTTTTAATTTTATATCAAAATAAAATATCGGAAATATTATAAATATTAAAAGAAATGTTTCATTTAAGATGTAAAATTATATTGATAAAATAAAAATAATTCGTTTTTATTAAAAAATAACCTTGAAATATAAATATTGAGATTGTCATTTGTAAAAAAATTAAATTATCGTGGTTCATAAATATGGAAGTCTATATTATTTAAAATATATATACATATTTTATTATTTAATGACAGTAGATATCTTTTATAAATTATTTAAAATTTAAATTCAATGTAATAATCTACTTATGGAGTGGGGAAGCTATATTTCGATTATTATCGGATTAAATGAAAAAAATATCTACGATACACTATAGGTTAAGTTAAATATATATATATATATATAAGCCCAAGATAGTGAAACCGAAAATAATATTTGAATGTTTTATTATAAAAGACATTAAGATAATTATTAGGTACTGCATAATATTTCCATTTGACATAAAAATCATTTTGAAATTTCTTTACATTTAAGTTATATTATATGAACAAATGATTCCCTTACAAGATTCTATATTTTCTGAAAATTAATTAATCAAAATATAATAACCTTGAGCCAGTTTCATAAAAAAATAACTTATGTTTTTATTTTATTTTACTTTTTGTAAAATAATTAATTATTTCATTGTATTTATTTTGTATAATATAATATCCAATATAACCTTTTGAAAAAAACATCTGCATCAAGCTAATTGTTAGTTTATATTAAAAAAATGTAACTCAGAAAAAAATCAGATATTATCAGAAATATCAAAAATTTGTTACGCCGTATGTATAATATTTATATATACTTATGTTAAGTGTTATTAAATTATAGATAACTTCTAATGAATTGTGTTTTTAATTTATCAAGATGTTTTGTAAAAAATCGAAACCAGATTCTTCTATAATTAATTCAAATTAATTAAATTAATTAAATAATTAATTGATTAACAAAGAAATGTAAGCATTTTTTAGCAAACATTATAATATGGATAACTGGAGCTATTTTCCAAAATATTTTCAAATGCTATGATTATTCCTTTCAGTTATAAATTAATAGAACACTTATATTTTGCTAATTAATTTTTAACTGTTTTATCACCTTTTCATGATCATATAAACAATATTTTATTAATAAAACCTAATCAATAAAAGTATTTGTGTTAAATTTATCTGAATTATCTGTTAGTTTTGAAATAAATTGACTTTTAAGATTTGTATTGTTATTATTACTATATTTGATAATTAATACAGAAATTATTATAAGTAAGACAAATAATAAAATATTTATGAACAATTTGAAGTTGATACCATGGATTCGAAAAAATTACTTTGCTTAAACTTTAAAGGTGATATAGTTTAGAAAAAGTATGTTTTTACCAAAAATAAATCAATTATAATACATAAATTTAGTAAATAAAAAAGTATAATTTGAAGCATATTTCATATTATTAAAATTTACTAATCTATGATATTTATTAGGTTAAAACTTACCGAACTAAGTACAAAAGTAGTTCCCTTGGTGGCTCATACGGTTGACCCGGTCTTAGTCCTAATTCAACACTTCTTGCTTGTAAACGCCTTTTTGCTGCTGGTGATGTCATTAAACTGACACTGGCAAGAGTTTCTGCCAACTCTAGTGATCTTTTGATTGCGGATAAATCGTATCGACATGGCTTTTCCATTGTGTTCTAATTTATAATGAAAAAATGAGGAGTATTTTTTTTTTTTTTATAAAAATGCAATCTATCTAATTACAAAGATACATTTTATTATTATTATTCACAGATGTGATAAAATTGTTTTACTTACAAAGTTTAAAATATAAAACACTGACGAGAGCAATGATATTAGGAACCGGCAGGTTCACTGGTGAGAATAACAACTTTATGATTTTTCGAGCAAGCAAAATACCACTTGAAAGATAATTAATAACAGCGTTGGATAATATAATTATAATAAAAGTGAAAAAAAAAATAAATTACCATTCAATTTTCGTTGGCAATCATACGTAACATAATAATTGTCCAATGGAAAACAAATGATAATCAATACGGTTTTACTCGTATTAGTTCGAACAGCGCGGATATTTTTCCATCAGTCAGGAAGTCGTACACACGATAACTGTTGAACGACGTTGTCTCGACGAAGAGACTTCAATGCCGAGGTCACTACCTGCGGCCGGCCTTCCAATGCGCAGCTTACCAGTACGGTGTTTAACATTCACCGGTATCATTCGACCAATAGTTTTCACTGATATAATTTCCTTTTTTTTGCCCACTTGAGCACCTGTATCGTGCAAGAAAAAAGTCATTACACAATTCTACACTCATTTTTCGACAATTGCATGGATAGCTTGAGTCTTGTCCAACAAACTAACGTAGTTAAAAGGTACAGAAAATGAAAAATAAGTGCATTTTTTATTTATTATTTCGATTTTTTAACTGTGCAGTTCTGATTTGAAAACTAAGATTTAGGTACAGCATTAACACATAATTGAATACATATTATTATTTTCTATTATTAAATTTCGAAATGAAATGTGACAGATAATACGTGTGATTAGTTGATCTATAACGACGCATATTATTTTGTTCATACGTTATTTTCACATGTTATTAAACCATAATGGTCTTTATAGTATTGCTATCAAAACGTATCCTAAGTTGTATGTGGACAACTTGATCGGCCAATGATAACAGAAAAAGAATTATTGAAATTCACTGACTTACACAATCCATTGATCGATCAAATGTATCGCTATAATGGTGATCCTACATTGAGTAAATGAAAAATATCTATGTATACTTCAAGCTATTATATAGCTACTAATTTTAATATAATAGAGCGATAAATGTTTAAGTAAATATTTAAAAATATTACTTATCTTATTTTTATCTTTATAGTTTATCTTTACGAATTCAATTTAATTTTTGTTGCATTAAAAGATATTTATATGAAAGGCAATATAATAAAGGTATACTGATTATAAGCATGTTGAATCTATGTACTATTTCTACAACTATTTAATAAAATGTCTTATGGTAAGCATTCCTAGTTGTTGTAAAAAATTCAACAAATTTTAGCAACTATCTACTCTGCCTATTGGGAAATCCACCCTCTGGCTAAAGCAGAGTACCTACATTTGTAATGAATAAGTGCAGCGGAACACGTTGAATATTAAAAAAATTCTCTACTCATAACCTCGCAACCCGTTATCAATTATGACAAGACGATTCAAATTCACTTTTCCCTATAAAAAATTAATTTATGGACATGCATTGATTTTATGGCACGATCTTGATTAAAGTGATTGTTTCATGGTCGGCCAGTGCATAAAAGTCATTATATTTTGAATATCATGATCATTATTTTGATACATATAATATATACAAAAGAAATTATAAAAACGACATACTATATATAGGTTCAATTGTACTATTTTAATAGATATCTATTTGAATAAATCATATATAAAAAAGTAGACTACAATACCTACCTATCTGTAAGTGTGCTATAAACATAATATATTAATATTCTTTGGATAAGAAATTAGTAACGTAATGCGAATATTCTGTAGGCTGTAGGACATTTTAGAAACTCGATTCATATAATCTAATAGAGTGGAGCAAAAAGCGCTATTCTGGATTATGTATAACAATATAATTGATAGGGAAAACTGCAGTAAGTAATAATAAAATAAAATGTATCTCATTTTTTTTTTATTCGAGTACCTATATATCAACATATCTACTAGTTATGGGGTTTAGAAAATGAATAATACGAGTATATTTTGACAGAAATTTTAACATAATAAATTTCCTTATTTATTTAGTTTCGAACACTTATATCATATTATAAATAAATATTGATAATTTACAAGCTCAAAGGCATAATTATGAAGGATTCCTCTATACGAAATATTAGCGTTTTTAACATATTATTCTTTAGGAGGTTCAAAAATACATCTAATATTCTAATATTTAGGTATGTATAATTATTAATTTATTCTTAATTAACTATAATATATGTTAGTTTTAAATGTAGAGATATCATTTAACGGTATTACGTTTACTAGAACCTTTGTATAGTATCATACTAGTCTACCGCACAATAATGGAATATGTAAAACTGTTTTTCAAATAGACAGACATTTTTTGATAGTACTTTTATAAAAAGTTGCTGTAGTTATTTGGTTGTTAGTGTTCACTGTTATTTTCGCAATGATTACGTGTGATGTGAAATGTGTTATGTACCGAAATTTCTCGACCTACTAGAATTATAAAATTAATTTTAGATCATCATGTGTTTCACATAGGTTTCCTTATGAGATTATTATCGACTACCCTAACCTAAGTTTGATACTTTTTTTAAGAACAGAATTCTATTAATCGGGTTTAATAAAGTAAATATTGAAAAAAATGAAAATAAGTGAGGATTCAATAGCCTGCGCCGAATTATTTATTATAAAATTTTTTAAATTCATATAAATTATAGTTTATATCTTTAATAGATATTAGAAACGTTATTTAACCAAAACAATTTTTATTTATTTAATATAAATTGTGTAACCAAAATATTTAACATATTTTCTTCTTGTCTTACAATATGTAACGTACGTCATTGGTTCTAATTCTCAAAGTCATGGTAATTTTTTCATCGAATTTGGTTTTATGATAAAATACCGAAATGATAAGTAACACTTAAGATATTTAAAAACAACGAAAACAGAAGACAATAGGGTTTATATCTCGTTCTCACAATGAAATAATCAACTTAGGTTAAAAGAATTAAAACTAATTCGTGGTAAATTAATTAGGTTAAAAATATAAGAATCTTTTAACTTCGTGTGCGCGAAAGAATCACGTGAACGTTTACGTACAATAATAGAAAGACAACAATGGATGCGGGATCCCACTCCACCCCACCTAATTCCAATCCATTGCGTAATTATGTAGTAAATTTGCAAATGTGTGTAAATTATTATTTTGAATTTCGAAATTGTTTCCAGTGAAAATAATAATCAAGTAGAGAGTCAACTTGATGCAGACCCCTCCCCTGTATTTTGAGATATTGAAAACATAAAAACATAAAAAAAAAAAACAGTTCAGCGAATAATTAGAAACAGTTGTGATTTCCGTAGAAAAATAAAATATTGATCGCAAAAACGTCCGCGCGAAAATATTTACATATACTTATACGCACGAGTGGCGTTGGAAAATGTATGCACCGTCATACGTACTTTTATCGTCCGGCGTACACCAGGGATTGATTACGGTGAACAGTGTGGCAGCAGCGCGTTCACACGTGTGTGGCATTAGCGTGTATGTGCAGACTCGTAGAGTTACCAGTTTGCTTATCGAACTCCGAAATCCGACCGCGATTGTGCTGCGGGAACACGGCCGCGGGGATTATTATTGGTAACGAAAAACGCGACCGCTTCAACACGCAGTCATATCTGTTGTAAAAAAAAAAAAAAAAAATAATAATAAATTCAAATCGGTTACTCAAAGTGAACGGATCACGCGATTGTTATCACGAGCGCAAAAAAAAAAAAAAAAAATTATAATGATCAACGCGTGCGCGCGTATAACTCGAATCAACTTATGAATCAACTTGTTGAATCGACTTGGCCCGGTTACGTTGCACGTTTACAACTCCGTGTAACGCGCGTTCGGTTAGCGGTGCGGCCGCGAAGGGGAAGCAGAAATGGGGGAAAAGATAAAAGTACACGACCGAAAACCGGATCCCGCGCGATTACGCCCCGAGTCCGCGGCGTAGTGCTTCTGTTCGGAGGTGGAACTAGAAGAAACTGAACAAATTTTTTTTCTCTAATAATTAATACGCAATCATACTTGTTGAGTTTTGACCTGATATCAGTATTTTACAAAGTTAAAAATATCAAATTGGTTGTTAACGATTACAATAATTACACCATCAAAAATTTTACGCCTGGGGATGAATCCCCGTATTCCACCCCGGCTTCTGTTGCGCCGAGAACGCGAACGCGCAACACCCGCGGTAAGAATATCGACGCGAACACGTGAAACCATCGGCGCGCGCGTTTCTACCGTAAGTAAGCAACAGCGCCAACGAGCCCGCAGATGCAAGCGCGCCCGCAGGATAAAATCCCACCCGGCGCAACATTAAAATTCTAAGGGCCAAAACAACGTGCACCTGAAAACAGACGAGAACCAAGTCGAATGCCATAGAAATCGGTACTCGGGAGGATTTATAAGCGATACGCAGTCACGCGTAAACATTGTGGACTAACGAACACGATTACAAATTTTAGACTATCTAAATGTATGAACATTGGTTACCGAACTTCGTAAATGGATTTCAATGAAATCGTGTTACGATTAACACGCGTGGTGCGCGTTAAATCGACAACGGCCTTGAAACGAAAATTCCCAGTAGGTTAACAGACGGTCCCTTTGGTCCCCACCCCCCTGGCGCGTGCGCCGATACATTATCGTTGATCGTCCACGTAGGGATATTAGGCTGTGCGATGTACGTACCGTTATCGATGCGAGGCGTACACCCGGCGTACGATATCGATTGTGATGAGCGCGCGCGCGACGTCCGCCTACGATTGTTTCGGGCACCACAGCGCGCGAAAAGAAAAAAAAACACTGTCGCGAAAACAAAAGAAAAAAAAGATAACGCACGCGCGACGCGGTTGTATGCGTTTGCGAAACACTTTTTTATAGACGTACAACAACGGGTTGTGTGCACTCGGTTGTTTACCGTGTGCGGTGCAATAACGTTGTGGCCGCGGGTCCGGTGACGACGGCGGACCGCTGACCGCGTGTGCCGGGGACGTGGGGAAGCGTTATGTTGTGCCGGCCGAGAGAGGAAAATCTTTATGTGTACGAATATTCGTTATCATCGCTATTATTATTATTATTATTATTGTTATTCGCACGAAAAGGCCACGAGGAGGGTACGCGCGTCCGTGTCACCTTGTCAGCGAAAGATTAATGATATGTAATGACCGTAATGGTGTGCGGGACAACAACGTCTTATATAAAGCCTAAAAATAAATAAATATTTTTTGTGCACGTTGTTCCGTACGACCGAGTAACATTTGTACAGTATTATGTGCGTGGCGGCCATCGTAACGGTCGTTGTGGTACGCGCAATATGATGTATGATGTATATGTATGCATTAATAAAATGTGCGTGCGGATATCGTTTTTGAAAAACGGCCAAATTTAGGGACACGCATCAGAGACGATGGAGTGCGAAAGTGTTGAGATTTATTTTTAAAATTTTCGAGTTTAGGCAATTTTAGCGTCCGGTCGTGCGTTCAGGGCCGGAGAAATTTATATTGGGCGGGTGACGGGCCCCGATGTCCGTCGGTTCGAACAAGAAAACATTTTAAATAAAACAATTCTAAAGCCAATCTAACAAGTCCACCGTACATTGTCCAAAGAGGCATTTCGTGAACATTATTTTCATCAAAGCGCTGTCGTTAACATAATCAATCGTTCGTTTAATTTTATCTGTTAAATATACAATTAATAATTACAGGTTGTCACTCGAAGAAAATAATATCAGTAGCCAATTATTTTAAAAAAACAATTTTAATTCGCGTTAATAAATTCAACGTTTTAACTTTAAGCTTATTAATAATACGATTAAATTTGTTTTATTGATAGTGGTATATCATTTTCAGATTGATTGCTTAGATCAGGTGGTCCATTTAAAATCAACTACTTCTTCAATTTCTCAGTTTAAGGATTGGTTTGCAGCAATTTGTACGTTTCTCTTCCACTGGCTTTTTCACTTTTTGGTCTCCTATTATTTGGCTCGTTAATTGTAATTGTGGTTTTATTCTGTGGTTTTTTTCCATTACCGTTCCTTCCAACATCAGTCGTAGTAACCCTCACCTATAATTTCTTAAACCACACGCCGAACCAGGAAGCTCGCACCGTCCTTCAACGCTTGTCTATAAATCATAAAATCGAGTGCATCTGATATCATAGTGCACGTCCCATAAATGACGCCCCTGGGAAATAATACAAGTATTTGTTTTTGCAATGACGTTTGGCCAATCGATTATGCTCGATTATACGCTATCACTACATTTTTTGCTCTCATTGTGAGTCTATAATAATACACACAGTCGAACATGAAAACACATTTCACGTAACGTCATTTTGATCCAAGCATTTCGAATTTTTTTATAGTATACATTCATACAACTCAAGTCGAACTGACCTATGGTCGCTAGAAAACATCGAATGCATTTCCCCGTTATTCAACTCTTTGGGCACGCAAGATGGTAAGATCGTGGTCAGTTGAAGTTCGAACAGAGTTTTGAGGCTTTTGATGCTTTTGTTATGATCTCGGAACGTTTCCGGGTCGTACGTGGATGTTGCACCTCCAGAATGTCGTTAAGTATAATTCTCAACATCTGGACCAGGACTATATGTAGTTAGAATATATTCTTGGCGATGCTGTACATCTGGTCATTTGTCCACACCGACCACTGTTTCACCAGTTCATTGTACACGTAGTTGTGTTCCCGAACCCATAGCGTTGACATGGTAAAGACCATAGGGTTGGAGGTCAAGAGTCGATCAAACGAGGCTCGTTGGGATTTGGTAGAACGCGTTTTCCGGTAGACCTTCACGATACCCGTTGCCAATCAGTCACCTAAATGGATGCTTATTTTGGGCGATCAGTGACACAGCGAGAGAGGTTTTAGAAGTTTATCTCCCTCCAATTTTCCTAAAAAAAAATGATATCAGGGATTACTGATGAAATAAAAAAAAAAAAAAAAAAATGTTAAACGAATGCACCGGGCAGTATGACGTTCGGGTATTGAACATAAAAATAGTTCTTGTCGTAATTACGGAATTGGTTACTGAATTTTGAGTAGAATGACCATGTTGTTGTATTATATATCTTTGGAGTGACCATAGATAAGAGATCAATCAGAGAGTGACGCATGGACAATAAAGATAATGTTATCTATTGATGCACGTCATTCAATATTTATTTATTATTTCATTAATTATTATTAATTATTAATTACTACAATACGAACTTTGGAGGGGGGGTGATCGTTCTTACCGCTCCCTCTAAATTACGTGCCTGTTGCCAACCTTTTGTACTGTTTCAAAAATTTGCTGTAGAAAAATGGTCCCGAATAAATAAAAATAAATGTAAATAACTGTTGCACACGATTCATTCCCAATGATATTTCTCGTCAAGCGACAATCGCAACGGATTTTCTTCGTTTTTCACGTTCTTGGTTTGAAAATCTGAGAGTATGTTCATAAATAAATACATGTATATTTATAAATTATAAGTATGTACATAAATCATGAAATTTATTTTGGTATTACTTATTGTATGACGTTTTTGTAAAAACATACCAATGTATCCGGACGATTTCTATGTATATTAAATGTATTATCTCTCTCTATTGAATGAGTATATTAAGTTTTTAATTTGAAACAAAAAATACACCCATAATATTATAAACTAATAAGCACAACATTTTATAAATAACAACTACACCAGTACAAGTCTATCGAATGCAGTTTTTCTCGATTTACGCGTTTAATACTTTTTACAGTATTATTATATTTAAATGTTTTAGTTTGTTGTTAATAATATCTACATTAATAATTGTAGTATTCATTCATAACTGACTAAATAAATCGTAAGTAAATTGAGTTTATATATTTTTATAGACTTTTTATATATAAAAATTGTTTATTCGTAATTTTTTTAAATGTATATTACAATGTTTCAGAGAATTCAAATTTGGATCATCATCACTTAAAATCAGAGATTCTTAGTAGAAATAAATGTTTTTCTAATATGCGTAAAATCTAAAGTATTTTTAATTTTTTTTTTTTTTTTATATTGCTCTTCTTGTATTAAAAACTATTATATTAAGCACTCGCGATTTCGACTTAAAAGTGCTTACAAGAACATTCAAATAATTTAAATTTATAGTGTGTAAGATGTATCGCAAATTCTGTTAAATAGTAAATTATTACAACTATATATTAAACTTGAGTTCGATTCAAATATTTAGTAAACTACATATACATAACTCGTTAAATCGATTGTTTTTCGGTGATAATAATTTATTGATCGTATTCACAGGAACATGTAATTAAAAATTATATACAATATACACTCCATGTAGTGTATAGATTAAGGTATACAAGTAACCTTCACAACGAATCCCACCATGGAGTGGGTGAAGATATCCAAGGATGATGTAATGATGGACATTGTTTGATATTCTGATACATGGTCTATTATTATATTTATATAGATCAGATATTATAATGATAAAAAAAAAATAACACTTAAGTGCAGACAGGTTCTATTATTATGTTTTCTTTGAATATTAAAAATATAACGCATTAAACCGTGATGTATCGTTCAATATAAATTACGAGTACATACAATCCAAAACAATAAAATGAGACACTTAAGTCTGCTGATTGATTAACATGAAAGAATATATAATGTAATAAATAATTCATGATTTAAAAGTTTTTTTAAATATTCAAAGAATACATTATATTTCATAATACGTTTACCATTAAATTCAAAACTAATAGTAATAAGGTTCATTGCCTCTTAATGATATTTGATAAACAAATTTTTATAGTTTGAAATTATAACATAAAAATATAACACTTCACTCAAAGTATTTATTTTCAAGTTTTAAATTATTTTAAATATTTTTCCTACCATATTACAATAATAATACCTACATGCCTACTCAATTATGTACTATTTTCTACGATTCTTTGTTCGTCGTATAATTGATTTTTAACTCTTTGTAATAATTTTTAAATAAGTACTTCAAAAGAATATATTTCTAGTTTTATTTTTATATGGTTACTAACCTCAATTTTTACATTTATAATATAAAGTACGTCATTCGATGGAAATAATGGAATGAAGAGAATAACCAACGACTAAATATGTTTACAAACGTAGAAAATAATTTTTGATTTTGTATTCGACTGTTTCATTATTGGATAAGGAAATATTATGTCCTGGTGCCATACTGCCATATTTTGTTTAATTAAATAGGTACCTGTGTTTTACTATTCCTCAGATGTTTTTATATTTTTCATTCAATATATTTAAATGTGGGTAAAAGTCAAAAAACTTGGTAATAATAATCATCAATAGTAAATTATAAAGGAATATTATGGTATATATACTATATACTATTTGGCAAGGAGGTTTTCAACTTTTCTAATCTTAGTGTACTGATACTCTGTAAAAAAAAAACATACAATAAATACACGATTTTTTTAAAACTGTTTAAATACCGTTTTAATAAAATCCCTTATTGGATAGTATTATTGATTAGAATTTTTATTATATTAAACAAATTTTAATTATAAAATTACCCTACTTAGTTTTTATCTTTAACTGTGGGATAAATAAGAATATTTATTGTATACATATATAAGTGGTAATAATTATATGTTACACTTGGTTAGATTACATTTGTATACCTAATTCAGACACGAAATTATAATTGAATGTATATGTATAAGTATATAACAAAACGAGACTGCAAGATTGGTTGGAAAAATTTAAATATCTTCCTCCTTAAGGAAATGGTAAATAGTGTGCCCATAATATTGTTAAAAATTTTTAGCCGTCCGAAGGTCGTAGCTGTAATAATAATGCACTCGTTATAAAATGATTAATTCAATGATTATCGATTGAAAATGAAAATGCAAAATTAATGATACTATATAGCAAGATCTGACCCAATGATTTATGAAC